CAATTTTGGGGCAGGGAGAAAGTATAAAGTGTGGGGGTATCTGACTTTCATTTCACAAACTGATGGAGATAGATTAGGAGGCAAATCATCCCTCAGTGTTATTTACATAATGCCAATAAAACCATAGGCAATACAAAAAGCAGTTAACAACTCATTTTGGGTTTGTTTTTATAACGTCTTTGCTTCACCTGTTTCATGCGACTTGTGCTACTTCCTTGGACAGAGACATAAACAGGATGCATGGCAATTATCAAGACTTTTGCAACCTTGGGGTGTAGGCTTCTGTTTTAAATATTTATTAATTAAGTAAACACAGTCTGCGTTTCTTTAGTACATGCTGTGTGATCACACAAAATGCGACATGACTGTTGCTGCAGCAGAGACAAAGCATGTTCCTGGAAGCTGCTGTAGTATTCATGTACATCAACATGATGTGTTCTTGCTGTTACCTTGGACTGTCATATAACTGACTATAGGTACGAAGAAATATTCAAAAATTGCTTAAGCTAAGTCTGCCTTTTCAGATCAGCAGCTCCCATCAGACGGAATTTTGAGCACAATTTGGGGCAACAACTGCGCTTGTTCCAGTGCAGCAAGTGCATAGGCAGGTGGGGAGCGAGAACTTCCCTGTGCTCTGGAGCTGGCTGATATTTTGACCTTAAACAGCAATGGTTAACTAATCTAATGAAGCCTTCCATCTTCAAGCACTTTTCTGGTTAGCTTTACAGTATTTACTTGCTCCTAAATACTGGCATGTATTTACTTACTCTGTTATCATCACTGAGATGCCTCACTGCAGATCAGAGTGGAGACAGGCAAGGATGTTCTCAGAAAAATATCTGTGTTCTGAGGGTGGATATGTATGGGACGTAGAGAAAGACAATGACAAGCATGTGACTTAAAAAACATCCTGTAGTGCTTGGGGATGTGGAAAAGCCAGGATTTGTGGATGAGGAAACACGGGGGAGAGAAGATGTAACAGAGGACAAGGCAGAAAAGGAAAAAAACACTGAAGGGGGGAAAATAAACAGAAGTGGGTGGAAGTAACTTAAGAGAGGAGACAAACTGGCAGAAAGTATACTTGATGCATACTTAGTGATGCAATTCTGTGGAGCAGCTATTCAGCAAGGCCTCCTTTAGAGGCAAAGTTGTATTAAAAAAATATTCAACAAGAAAAGCAACCCATCCACCTCGCAACACTGCATTGAGCAAAGTTTTCTGATTGTAACCCTTCCTCTAAAAGGAGACTGCATCAGGTTAGCCCTTTTTTGTCAGGGCATATGCTGAACCATGAAACAAGTGGTCATTGAGTGGAAATTAAGAGTTATCAACCAGAGAAAAGGGGGAGTAGAAGGTAAGCATAGCTGGAATAGAACAGCGAGGAAAAAGGCTAAAGAAATGAGAGCAGTTATTTGTATAGCTGTCAGTTCACACAGCTTTAAATCAAGCAAGAACTGTACTGAAATTTTAATCCCCTTTGCCTGGGGATTCTGATACAGAGGAGGAATAAAGAGGGGGTAAAAGCAATATCCTGTATTTTAAGTAGTACATAGTAGAACTGGAACACTCAACAGATGATGGAGATTCTTTTAATCTTCTGAAAGAGAAGTAACAAAGGCATCTTGAGAGGCTTGTGCCAATATAGATAACAGGAAGTTTAGCATTGTTGCAAGAGACATGTAACCAGTCTGGCTTTGTGTATACTTAATCCTGCATGTACTGCTCATTATGATGTAAATCTAAGTCTGTTCGTCTGTGAAATATGTAAGTGCCATTCTTCAGCTGCAAACCCATTGGTCTGAATTTGTCTGCCTTTCTTAGAGGGGGAGAAAAAAATCCTTCAAAGCATTCCTTAGGAATGTGATTATAATATTCTAAAAATAAGGAACTTGGTCATAATTTTCATACAGAACTCTGCAAACAGCACTTTAAACAATTCTGCTAATGTTTTGAGGCACAAGGGATCTTGGAGTTGCTGGTATTCAGCTGTTCACCTCATAAAAAATGAATAATCATGGGTAAAGTGTATGGATTTATGAATTCAATGTCTGGCGCCTTAGTAACCTCTGAACAAAGTAATTACTCATTTGGTTATCAGGAAGATGGAAACTCGTATGTAATCCCTTTATCCAGATGCAGGGGAGGGGCTGTGATGAAACTATCAAAGAAACTGTACAACTCTGGAAGCAAACAAACACAAAAAGTTTTGAGTCGTGTCCCCATCTACTTTCTGTATTTTGTCTACTCTCAAAAAATCAGGTGTGGGGTTTTTGTTTGTATGCATCCAAACAGCAAAACAAAAACCCCAATAACACATAACTGTGAAACTATGATTATCAGGATATGAAGCTTTGCATATAATGTTTTCAAAGTGCAAAGTGATATCATGTATAGGTAGGGCTGGTTGCCCAATGTTTTTCCATTAAGAGGTTTTAAGGCTTTCTCTTTAAATGATTGCTTATAGCTTTGCTGTTCTTTGCCTGAAATGTTCTTCATCAGGTGTCTGCTCTGTGATTGTTCCCCTTCCAGCCCTGCGCGCATGTGCGCATGCACACACACAGAGCTTCAGTAAAATGGTTAAACTATTAATGATACGGTAAAGAAAAATGTGTAGGATTTACAACGTCGAGAAAATCTGTCAGTGCTATGCGGGAGGGACACAATATAAAACAAATGTCTGTCTTTACCCATTCTTCTTAATGCAAGTAGATTTTCCTGTTCATTTTTCCCTTACCCAGAGAAGTATTTATTCTTACATTGCCACCACAGTTGTGTTAGTTTGGCTGCTAAAAACTGAAAGTGCTACTACTTTAGACTGCAGATGCTATCATCACCGTCTGTCATGGCACGGACTGGAGGCTCTCTAGGATGCAGCTGCAGATCGATATAAGACACTGAGCTTCATCTCTTCCAGCCTCTGTTTGGTGTCAGAGAGAGTATTTAGACACTGCTTAGACTCTTAATTTAGTAAAGAATCTTGAAGTTTGTCGGTTTTCATAGTCCCATTACTGAACAACAAAACAAACCCAAACATATTCTAAGGTCAATGGAGTAAATATTCTGAAATTTACCCTTATCCTGGTATATCTAGCATGAGAAAGAAAGTTCAGTAAAATTACCTCTAACTGATTTGTCCCCAGCACTGGCCTTTCAAAGACAACCTGCAAAGCTAAGCAGTAACAGCTGTGTTTCTAAGACTGTGTCTTTCTAACTTTCTGTTCAGAAATAATCACTAATTTTAGGTTCCTAGTTTGCAAATATTCAAAGTTAGGTAAGAATATTTTTTTTCCTTCTTTGTAAAAAGCCATAATGTGGATATCTTCATCTAAGCTAGTTGTTTAAATTCCTTGTAATCAAGAAGAGAATTTAGTACTTCTGGAGACTGACTCATTTCAGATGATTGCTACAGAAGGATGTTTCTCTGGGTTGATTACAAGGTAGGCTAGGTGAGTAGTCAGGTCAGGTGGTTACATCTGACCTTGCAGATATTTATCTACATGCTGAGGGAAATGATTCCTACTGTTTGCGTGAATATTTTTCTTACTAAATGTATTGATGAGGTGAATAAGTGAAGTCTGTTGCAAAGAGTGCCTTAAAGTAAAACATACAACAATTACAAGTGCATTTTACAAATTTCTGCAGATCATGAAAATAACAAATGTAGGCACTTTAAAACAGCCTTTCTATTTACCTACCAAGACCCGATTTCAAGGTTTTATTCTCCTACAATAGTTAATAACACTGGAACACCCACATGAATGCTGTTTCATAGCTTTGCTTTGGCTCTTACAATGTCAGTTCTACAACTTCTGTAAGAGAAATGCAGCCCTGAAATGAATGTTTGGTTGCTTTGGAGGTCCCTAGTTAGCTTTAAATGCAAACTGAAATTCTACTTTCTTTATACCAAGACAAACATATTTTCTAGCTCTGTGTAAGGAAACTTGCCTAAAATGTTTTAATTTCAGTTTCTTCTGAGAACTTTCTAAAATTTTTGATTCAACTTGTGAATTTTTATATTTCCTGCAGCAGGGAGTTTGGGGAGCGAGGGGCAATTCTGTGGTTGCAAGAGTTTAAAGGGAACTGTGAGAGCTGACAATACTCTGGAAGAATGCAGAAAAGTTGCATATGTTGGTGAATGAAAATAAGCCAGGATAACTTTCTCTCTCACATGCCTTTACCTCTCCTTGCACAAATCCAATCTGTTGTCTCTAGCTGTACCTATATCACTTCCATTAAAGCCAGTGGAAATTAGACATATCTATAGAATCATAGAATCATTTATGTTGGAAAAGACCTTTAAGGTCATTGAGTCCAACCGTAAACCTAACACTGCCAAGTCCACCACTAAACCGTGTCCCTAAGCACCACATCTACATGTCTTTTAAATACCTCCAGGCATCGTGACTCTGCCACTTCCCTGGGCAGCCTGTTCCAATGCTTGACAACCCTTTTGGTGAAGAAATTTTTCCTAATATCCCATCTAAACCTCCTGTGGCGTAACTTGAGGCTGTTTCCTCTTGTCCTATCACTTGTTATTTGGGAGAAGAGACCAGCAGCCACCCCGCTACAACCTTCTTTCAGGTAGAGAGCGATAAGGTCTCCCCTCAGCCTCCTTTTCTCCAGGCTAAACAACCCCAGTTCCCTCAGCCACTCCTTGTAGGACATATTCTCTAGACCCTTCACCAGCTTCGTTGCTCTTCTTTGGACACGCTCCAGCACCTCAATGTCTCTTTTGTAGTGAGGGGCCCAAAACTGAACACAATATTTGAAGTGCAGCCTCCAATCATCTCTATCAATTATAAACTGGTCATTGATCTTCCCCAAAACATGAAGGTTGGCAGTTTGGCCCCAAAACATTTGGGAACTAGTGTTCTTAGGTACTGTTGTGCTTTTGCTATAATTGGCTATCTCTCCTGGCCCTATGTTACTGGTTTGTGTTTTTTTTTTTTTTTTATTCTAGTACTGATTTAAAAATAACTTTTTATTTTTTTACTTTTAAGGAGCTCTACCATGTACCAAATGGCACGTCTTCAGGGAAGCTCTCTCATGGGATGGTGTACGGCGTCGTGCACCGAACTGACAACAACCATAAGAGAGAAATGGTGGTTTATGGCTGGTCAGCTGATCAGCTGAAAGAGGAGATGAATTACATTAAAGAAGTGAGTTATGCTTTCAGCTTCAAAATTTGTCAAATATGCTTTCCATATATTCATGTAGAGCTGTGAGTGTATATGGGATGACCTATGTCTAGCCCAACACCTGAATTTGAATTGGGAACCTACTCTGAAGCTAAAGGCTTGTCTGGTTAGTATTCAAGTTGGAAAAAATGCATACTATATACCTGGGAACTGTGCAGTCCAGACTCAAGGCCTCTGTGCCAAGTGATACTTGTTAATGCTTGCTGACTGGGCTACAGCTGGGCAAGCAAACAGCCAAACAGATCTTGGGGTTCCTGTCCTGAAGCCTTCATAATTTCAAATGTGATACACAAGAAACTATGTAAGTATACACCTGAAAGGATAAACTCTCTCCTCTTCCTCTGCTTCCCCTGTCCCCAGTTTTGAAAAGGCTCCTAAATTAGGTGACATAGTAGAATCACTTGAGTATATTTTGGGGCAGCCTTAAAATAGTCAGCCTAATAAGGATGACTTTGTACTACTTTCTCTGTGCATGCTCATTTATCATAATTGGCAGAAGCTCTCCTGAAAAAAAAAAAAAACACGCATTTTTGATGCTGCTGGTTTCTGTGCTTGAAACTCAGTATCTCTTTGCCTGTCAGTCCTTGGCTCTCAGGCTTTGTCAATAACCCCCTAATTAGCCCAGGGCAAATAATTTGACCTTCTCTTTCCATCCACCTTCACCACCCAGGAGCCTGTTGGTCAGTGGTTATTGTGTTACACTGATTCAGGTGCAAACTGAGCTGGTATAAAAGGGAGGAACACTGAGTCAAGCCAGCAGCGTAAGAGACTGTAATTATGTGTGCTCTTAACATCTGCCATGTCTCTAGCTATCAGGGCTTGCTTCTTTCCTTTATTACTCACAGTTTGTTAGCTCCCAGCATTCACCGCTCTCGAGTTCCTGCACTCGCTGTTAGCGTGTGTCACTACTGCAGTGCAGGTGGGGCACGTGAGCTGCCTTGGCTGCTGGTTTCCTGCTTGGGTAGTTTACCTACCCTGCTGGGGTGGTGGGTGGTGTCTGGGGATGGGTGAATCGGCACGCAGCAGGTGCAGCTCCCTGGGCTGCACTGCTTCTGGTACCTAGTGCAGATTGCTTGGACCGGGACCATCTCCCTGACCTTTTCTGTTCACGGCCAGCTTGTGGCATGGAGCGACATGCCAGACCAGGTGAACAGCATGTCTTGCATGTGTGTTCAGGGTACTGATCCTTTCAGGAAAAAGTGGGAAAGACATGGGAAGAGACATACTGGCCCTTGGTCTCCTGTCTTCTGGAAGCTCTGTTCAGCTATGCTAATTTGTGAACTTTGGTCTGCCAGATAAGTTTTGTCTTTAAAAGCAAAGTCTTAAACAAGAGTCCTCAGCTTGTGCTACATATGTGCTGACTTAAATAGACCAAAAACAATGGGATGTGTCAGAACTGTTGATGGTTTCCTCTGTATCTGAGTCAAATTTGCACCTTGCAAGAGGGTGTATGTGTGCATGCGCATATGTGTGGGTAGGGACAGGGCGAGGGGTGCTTTCCTGAGGTGAAGTGCAGGAGTCAGCTTCCTTCTGTGTTTCTTATCCTAAAGGGAGCATGTAGTTTGGGATAGGCTTGCACCTACTCCTTGAATAGATTTGGAGGCCAATGCCCCTCTTTCTGGGAGGGAGTGGGTATGCTGCAGAGCTGCTAGAAACATCCCCTCTTGTATAAGGCCCTACTAATGTTTTCCCCTCGCTCCTTCCCCAAGCCTATGCAGAGATGAGGTAAACTCACTACCCTAGATTATCTACAATCAGTCTGTATTTGATAGAGGTGAGGCGGCGGGGGTGGGGGCGTGGAAAGGAGTTTGAATTACCTAGCTGGAAGGTAGACTGTAGGCAAACATTTAACTAGTGTTTACAATGTGTGCTCTTGAGAAGATTGGTTCTGTGCATGATTGCAATGGCATGTCAACCCAAGCTGGCTTCCAGCATGCATTTTTTCTTTTTTTCTTTTTTTCCCCTTTTCTTTTCTTTTTATAGAAAGGCAAGGTATAATTTACATCCATAGTTCTTAAATAAAATCAAATTGAGTACGCTGTTCTTCAGATTTGAAATTACATTGGTAAATTTATGCTAATATATTATTTAGTTAGATACGAGCCTAAAAGTCTGAAATTAAAAGGTTTATCTTCAAAGGATACTCAGGGAAAATTAATTAACCACTTGAAAAAGTATGAAGGTGTATTAAATCCATGTGTGGATGCTTTTTTCCAGAAAGAAAACATTATATGCTCAAATTAATTTTAATTCCTTTAGTAATCAGGTTAGAATGAGTTACGGATAATTTAATTGAAATTCATTATTTAAATTATTAATTTACAAGTGTTTGAGTGTGTACAGAGAAGTTTAGAATTACTCAGAGACGTTTATTCGTATCATCCCTATGTAGACAAGTCTTGAGACTTAAGTTTTTGTCGTGTTCTTAAGAGTAAATTGCTGTTGATGAAAAGGTAGATTAATAACGGAAATTACTGGAAGTAACAATGAAGGACATAGGAAAAAAAACCCAATAATGTCCTAGTATAAACAGTATCGTCAATAAGTTTGATAAAGGCATTTGATTTTTCTGACACCAGGTGAGAGCAACTCTGGAAAAAGTAAGAAAGAAAATGTATGGTGAATATGATGAAATGAAACGAAAAATACAGCAGCTTACAAATGAACTGAAAGTAAGTATACTTTCATTTGT